TTAAGGTAGGCATACCTATTTCCGGGGATCGTCCTATTTCCGTGGATTCTACATTCACCTATTTATTGTCTGACAAATTAGGTTAATCTGTAAGTAAAATAAAGTTTAAATAGGTTACACTGCTTACGTATATATATAAATATATTCTAAAAGCGTTTTTTGATTTTTTTTTTAATGTGAAAATTTTTTTCTCTTACTATTTGTGCCAAGATAATTATTTTTATAACGACGAGAACCAATTTATTATGCATTAATTCTTTCAATTTAAAAAAAAAAAAAAAAAAATACGAAACGTTTTTGAATGTAATAAGTAACCCACCAGTCCCCAGTCCGTAGAACACATGTTTACCGCATGTTTAACGCATTTTTTTCGCACGTTTTTTTGGTTGGGGCGCTTGTTATTAAATAACCATTTTTTTATTTCATTATGGTCAGTTGAGTAAAGCTTAAATAAAATAAGCAAAGGTCCCACAACCAATTTCACGGTTCTGTCCCCAACGCATCATGAATTTAAACTCTAAAAAAAAAAAAAAAAATATCTTGTTTTTGCAACACGAATCTTATTTTTCTTGTACTTGCACGATAGTATATGGAATGGACCGAGTATTATCTTCAAAAAAGGATACAGCTTCGCGTCAAGCATCTATTCAAGAAGCTTTGAATTTTCTTCAAGTGCAAAAGACTAGTTCAAGTTCACCTTTAAGTGTACGCAAAGTTGCTTTTAATTATGGTATCGCTGAACAAACCTTGCGTGATGCTATAGCTAGAGGTGGTGTACCAAAACGTCCAGGTCCCCCTACAATACTTACGGCTGAAGAAGAAAATGAGTTAGTTGGGTATTGTCTGAATATGCAACAAATTGGATTTGGACTTACTAAAGAGGCAGTGAATACAATGGTTGTACAGATTCTCAAAGAAAAAAATAAAAACCAGTTAAACATAAAAAGTCCTAGCGATCAATGGTGGAAACGATTTATGCGTGACCATTCACAGCTGTCTTTTCGTATTCCCCAAGAACTTTCAAAAGCACGTGCAGCTAAATGTAACCCAGTTGTTATTCAGGATCATTTTAGGAAACTCGAACAACTTATCAATAAATATTCACTCACAAGTGATAGAATTTGGAATATGGACGAGTCTGGTTTTAATATTTCTTCTCGGTTACAAAAAGTATTGGCTCAAAAAGGTAGTCGACAAGTCCATAAAACTGCAGCTGGGAGCTCAAAAGAGCACGTTTCCGTTTGCCCTACCATTTCAGCAGCTGGAACATATATTCTGCCCTTACTTATTTACAAAGGCGTCAATGTAATTGAAGGTTTATTAACAGGTGCATCAGTTCCACCTGGTACTGTTGCTGCATTTACTGATACTGGTTATATGCACGAAGATATTTTTAGAATGTACATAGAGCACTTTAATAATTCAATCCCACCTGCCCGTCCTGTTTTACTTATGCTCGATGGTGCCACAAGTCATATAGATTTAACTAGTATTAAATATTGTCAGGATAAAAATATTCTTCTTTACGTTTTACCTTCTAACACTACTCATATTCTTCAACCATCTGAAATTCCCTTTAAAAAACTCAAAGCCGAATATGACAAGGCATCAGATCGTTATCATATTAAGAATAATCTTGAAGTCACGAAGTGTTTATTTGCTCAAGTCTTCGGTGAAGCATTTTATGAAACCTACACTCCTAGTGCAATTAAAAATGCATATGCCGCAACTGGAATTTGGCCCTTGAACCCCAATATTATTAATCCTGATCGCCTAATGCCTTCATTACCAACTTTTCAACCTGTTCAACCTGTTCAACCCGTTCAACCTGTTGTTTCAAACCCAGAACCTACTTACATATATAATACGAGGACTAGCAAGTTAACTCAACTTGAGTATGAGAATAAAAGGTTACATGAATATGTTCAAAGGTTAGAACATCCCGGAACAGCGCCTTTAGCATCGATTTTGAAGTATCCACATTCGAAGCAATTGTCAGTTGAGAAAAAACCTCAAAACCGACCCAAAAACTTCAAATTCGGAACACTTGTAACTGCAGAATCCATTGTAAAAGAATTGGAGGACAGAGAAAATGTAAAGCAAAAAAAGGCTGAAGATACAAGATTAAGAAAGAAACGACGGGCTATAAATAAAACAAACAAGCAAGCCCAAAATAATGCTAAAAATAAATAGGATTGGATCTTGTATTATTGGATGGTAGATAGGTTTATAATAACCTTTAGTAATTTGTTTTATGTAAGTTTTAATAAAATTGATTTGTCTGCGAAATTGAAGTATTAATTATTAAGTACTATTGCTAATCATCATATATTAATATAATTTTTTATTAAATAAATTATCAAAAGAATGTAAATAAATATTTTTCATAACGAATTACATGCGTCATAAAAATTTTATAAAGCTTGGTTAAAATTTTTTTGATTAGTTTATTTGTCTTAATGTTCGTAAAAAAAAAAATTTTTTTTATAACTTTTTTACTTAAAATTAAACAGCCAAGTCTATTAATAAAATACCATCCGATTTATGTAAAAGTTTTATATTATTGTAATTTAGTATTACGAAAATACTTACCTAATAAATTTTATCAAACGTACTTAATAAAAAAAACACGTATATTATGTATCCACGGAAATAGGTTTGTTCCTCCTTATTTTTTATAAATAATATAAATTCGAACTTTATTATTAAAAGAATTTTTATATATAAGTAAAATATAAATAAATTTTATTTTTAAATAGTCGATTATTTGTAGATCGTAAATATAAAATTTTATAAATATATAT